AGACTGAGCTACAGGTAGCGGGGACACTGGAGACTGAGCTACAGGTAGCGGGGACACTGGAGACTGAGCTACAGGTAGCTGGGACAATGGAGACTGAGCTACAGGTAGCGGGACACTGGAGACTGAGCTAGTGGCAGCTGGGCAGGTGACACTAGAGACTGAGCTAGTGGCAGCTGGGCAGGTGACTCGGCCAATGCTGACTTTTTAGTCTCTAGGGGTCCACAGGCAGCTGAGGGAGGAAACTCAGCCTCTGGGGAGGCCCTGGAGAACATTTCAATTACTGCAACATTACCACTTAATGTCTTTGAATGAGTGTCAGTAGTCCAAGAAATGAAACATTCGGGTGCACACTGAACAGTCTCTTGAGGTGGCAGCTTGGAAAATAAAACAGTCTTAGTATCATCAGAGCTGGGGTTAATTGTCTCTGGGTTAAAAGCCACAGCTTTAGCACACTCTGGGATAGCTGATACGGGGTTAACAGACTCAGAGAGAGTTAATCCAGGCTCAGAAGAAGCAGAAGAAACACAGCCCTTTGTTTTCTCAGAAGTCTTAAAAATACCAACCTGGGAGAGGTCACATACTATGAAGGTAGATAAGCTACGCATATTAGCTCTCATCAACACACCCCGAACAACCCCAGAAGAAAAAGTCCCAAAGGTCAAACCAGTAATATTGTCCTTTTTAATCACCACAGTCGGCCGCTCTGATATCCCGAGGTCCGACTGTGGTGAGGGGCGTCGACGAAGCATTAGTTGCTGGGTGGGTGGTAGCAGCCGGGGGTGAAGGTGAAGCTTGATCAGAAGAAATTCTGTGCGAACAGGTGAAGTGAGCTAGGGGAGACCAGAAACCAATCGCTGTAGCCGGTTAGCCACAGCTTAGCGAAATTCTTTCCCCTCATGCTCCAGTAACAAATTAATTAATTTGTCCACAGAGCTAAACACCATATAACGCAGACAAACCAGCAACTAACAGAGGCAGACACAAGGCTTAAATACACAGAAGGATACCAAGGGAATGAAACATAGAAGGAGGGCACAGTTGGGAGTAATTAGACATGACATTAGACAAAAACTAAACACACTAACATCAGCCATGGACCTTCAAAGTAAAACAGGAACTCACACATGCAAAGACACAGACTTAGAAACACTGACTTTACACAGAGGAATACGCAGGCAGAAATGACTAAACACTAAACTGAGGAAGAACAGAACCAAAAACCAAAGAGCAAGAAAACCAGAACCAAAATACATCACAATAATTGAAAGCACAAAACGCTGGGTCAACAGACCCAGGATCATGATTATTCTATTCTATTCTGTTCTATTCTATTCTTTGTGAATTTACACAGCTGAATTCAGCAAGATGTAAGCAGATGTTTTGTATCTATTTTACACTGACAGTATAGTGTTAATACTATCTTTATACCGGACAGTATACAATTGGTATAAAGGTGGAATTCAGTCTAATCTAAGCATCATCAGTTATAATTCAAAGTATTAATTAATGTCTGTGTGGCTGGGTGTGGTTTGCGGCTCAGCTGCAGAGGATGGATGGAACAGTGGGTTCTGGGTGTGTTGGAAGGCTAATTCACACACTTGATATCGATCATACAATCATGTCCCCCCTTTTGAGGATGTTGCTGGGACCGGAGAGGAGATCTGTGCATGGTGTGAACCCGGATGAGGACATCTGGAAAGCTTTTGCAGGGAATGCAAATAAAACAAACTGTGTGGGTCCCAACCCAAGCCACCAGTAATATGGACCTGTGACAGATCTAGCCAGCTGAGGTCCTGGCCCATATGGTGGGTGAGCTGGCGGCCATGCAACAGGAGCAGGCAGTGGTGTTTTACCGCCAGTTGTAACAGTGGCAGGACCAGTCTGAACCCTGGATAAAGGTGTTAGAGAGTCTGATTGCTTGGGCTGGTTCCCTGCTGACACTGCCACCAGGAGGTCTTTCAGGTCATGGCAGAGCCGTGCCATTGGAGGAGGAGTGGGCACTGAGGTTGCTCCCACTGAGGTCCAACGAAGCCCAGGCAGCGCCTCTCAGCTTGCCCTTGCCCTAGGTCTCACGCCAAAAGATTATCATTAGCGTTTCCGGGAGGGCTGGATGGAGCCAGAGGACTGGCTTTTCACCTGGCATAGGCAAAAAACCAGCAGCAGTTGCAATTGGCCACGAACCTCCTTCGCTCTGCTGTTGCTCCACAGGTCCCAGGTAGTGGGACTGGTATTCTGTGTCGCTGGCCCTCCAACACCTTCCCTCTTAATGATACACTGTATGTCTCTCTAAGGTGCTGAGGGGGTATACACCAGGCTATGGTGGATGCAGATCCTGGTCCAGCAAACCCTTGTTTGGCCCAGGGCATTGTTGGAAGCAAAATAGGTGGAGATTAAGTTGTGCATGGGGATGTACACAAATATCCCATAGTTGTGCTGCAAATAAAATACAAGGGCAAAATGCATAGTGTAAAGGCTATAGTTAGTACATGCCTGATTAAATATAACTATATGTTATATCTGGGGACAGTTTTGCCTAGGTTTAATAATTGCATGTTTATGACCTTTAGCAGCATGTAGTGTGTGCGCTGCACTGACCTTTGAGGTGACTTTGGAACTTTATTTTTTACAATAATTATAGATGTTTTAAGGCTGTAAAACCCCTCACTACACACTTTATACACTTTTCTCAGACAGGCATGAATAGTGAGGAACCACTGTAAGTTAAATTCGAATTTGAATTGCTCAGATTGAATCTCAATTGCTCAACTCAAATAAAAGCTTCTAAAATTGAATTTGAATTAGCCTAATTTGAAATCCAATGTACTGGTTTGAAAATGATTGTCACTAAATGAAGAAATTTAATTTAAAATTGTATTCCAGTACATTCCGGTACATGTATTCCGTTACTCCCCAACACTGCATGCATCTATAGTAACATTAAATGACCAGTGGGTTGCACGGTATGGAGTGACACAACCAGTGTAGTGGTTTATGTGCAAACATACCATTAACACTGACACAAATACAAGAAAACAGCCTTTGAATAGCTGTCCACTATAGTGACTACTATGCATGAAAGGGTTAAAACACTCAAACTTCAATGAAAGAGGTGATCATCACTTTTATATGCTCAAGTGCATAGTGTGGAGGACCTCATAAGGCCTTGGGGCAATCAGATGTAAAATACAACATTTATGTGTGTTTTAAATTGTAAGTCCATCACATTTGACTCCTTCTGAGGGGTGGGGGACCTTGGGCCTCTGGGCCTGGGGCTCGGTCCACTTTGGCGCGGCTAGCTGCTGGCAGAGCCCACAGGCACGTCACTGCAGCTCCCTGTGGCTTCTGCATGGTGACTGCTGGCTGACCCCACACCTAAGGCTCCTTTCAGCTCTTTCCCTGAGGGTGGCACCGTTGCCCCTCTGATGGTCCTTCATGGGCTTTTATGCTCTGGGAACCTCTGGATGTCTGGGCCTAGATCTCCTCCATGCCTATTTAATGCGCCGGGGACATGGCTATGGCTTCCCACAGCCCTCTAGCAGATCATTACATGGAGAAACCTTTTGAATACAAGTGTGGTCATGTGTTCACACAGGTGTCCTGTAGTCCTCACAGACACAAACTATATCTTCCTTGGCTGCTACCTCAAAGCACATTGTGTGCTTGTGTGGTCTTGCATGCTGCACAATAACATTCAATATTTAGTATTTACTGTTACTTACAATTATCTACGTACTTGCAATGGTGTTGTGTTTATTGTATTTCTCTTTTTTTGATTTTTTTGATTTTTTTCTCTTTTTTCGTTTTTGCTTTTCTCTCAACAGGTGATTAGGGGATTTTTACATTTTTTTTAAAATGTCTTCACTCACTGTCTCTTTCTTTCTTTCTTTCTTTCTTTCTTGTCTCCCAGTCATATGTGTCCCATCTGCAAAAACTTATATAAATATAAATATATAAATTAATTAATTAATTTAAAAAATCAACAGACAAGGTTGTGCCTACATTACATGCTTCCACTTAAATGGATTGGATTACTCAGTACTTACTGAAACAGAGTCAGTTTCTTGGTGAAAATCATGGACCAATAAAAATGTTTGGTGCTTTTTCCTCTATTATCTGTAGGAGGCATACTCTGTGGCACGACAGTTCAACATGATCCCTCCAATTTGTGAACAGGCAGAGTACCACATGTTCCAAAGAGAAAAGGTTGAAGTGCACCTTCCTGAACTCTTCCACAAGATAGGTAAGCAAGCCACCACTGATATGTACAGCATATGTCCCAAAAATTATGACTATTCATTCTTAACTCTAGAACACTTAATGGAGTTTGTAATCCTATCAGTATTACTTGCACGTGGAGAAAAATTACCTGACCTTGGTGTTCTAAATTTAATTAGTATGGATATGTTAATGCATTTTCTAAGATATTCAATCAGCAATGCTAATATCTGATCCTTGTTTATCCAAATGTTCTCTATTACATCAAAACTATCTCCACTTGTGTTGAGCATGTGTGGGGGAATGTACCTATGTGAAGTGTTGGGAAGGTTACTTTTAAAATGTATTCTATTACAGATTACAGAATACATGCCTCAAAAGGTATTTTGTAGTGTATTCCGTAACTTTACTCAATGAGAATAACGTATTCTGAATACTTTGGATTACTTAATATATTATCAAGCTTTTTACAACTACATGAATCTACTATTGCTATGTGATTTATTACTATTTCTGAGGGTTACTCACCATACCAATACCAACTAGATCTTGAAATCTTAATATCAAATGAGTAACAGTTGGGTGGACATTAGGTAAGGCTGCGATTTTTTGCAGTGATCTCGTATAGAAATTATTCAGCACGTATATAAAACAGGTCCGTTGCTCCGAACTGTAGTAAAGGGACCTCTGGCTAATACATCTGGTTCCGTGTCGACCTCGTAGCCGAAAACTAGCTTTACTTTGTTGTCTGGGACAACTTTGCTAGCGAGAGACAGAGAGAGGCATTGAAAGGCTGCTTATTGTTTCGGAGGAAAACACAAACACAGTGTACAGTCAGGTTTTTTTGGCTGCAGTGGTTGTTATTATATTTACCTGCTTCCATCTCCCGTCTCTGCTCAGTGATAACTCGTACTTTTCAACTCTCCTACTTTTGCACATAATGGGTATAGGGCAATGCTTGGAACACTCTGCTCATATATTCTTCATATTAAATACCTTTTTGAATAATAATTTTAAACAATATTTCTTCATGTGGGCCACAAGTAGGGGTGACATGGACCGCGAAATTGACACACAGGCATTAGAGCCTCTTAATGCGTGTTTTGTTTGGGATTCCACCAGTGTGGAATTACCAAAGACAGAGAGAGCAAAGCCTAACATATGAAACAGGAAAAGACCGCCATGTAATCCATTTATTTCAACAAAGTAACTGTATTCTGAATACTACCTTTTAAACGGTAACTGTAATGGAATACAGTTACTCATATTTTATATTTTAAATACATAACACGGTATATGTATTCCGTTTCTCCCCAACTCCCCAACACTGCCTACTGTTGTGAAATCAGTTACACCCAGGTTCTTTTATTCCTCGGGCATCCAGAGACGGCACCGGAACTCAGTAGTCATTTTCACAAAAACCTTTATTCATCTTCATTCATCTTCATTTAAGCATGCATCTTCTAGAAGGGGAGATGTGCAAGGCCTATGTCCCTGTGCAAATCTTCTACTCCTCTGTCTGTGAAACACAGTTTTGTAGAAGTGACCCCATCATAAAACCCCCATGGTGTGCTGCAAACTCTGTGTCTGTGTGTATGCACGAGCACGTGAGTGCCTTTGTGTGCGCGTACCTGTATGTCTATGTGAGTGCACGTGAGTGAATGTGCGCGTACCTGTGTATGTGTGAGTGCACCTGAGTGAATGTGCGTGTGGATGTGTGAGTGTAACAGTTTAAGCACTGTGTGTGTGTCTCTGCGTGACTTCCTGGGGGTCATAAAAGTAATCTCACCCAAGCTACACCAAATTCTTCTACACAACATAGAAAACATAGTTAACATTTTACAAGCACTGAGACCCCCACTCTGCATCCACTGGGCCATTGGCTTCTTGTTGTCTTACATTTACAGATAAGGTGGAGAGTCTCCTGCAAACCTACTTCTAAGTTATAACAATTATGAGTTTTATTAAATGCATCAGCATCAGCAACCCCCAACTGTAGCTTCCTGTCTCCTTTTATGGCAGGCAGACCCCCAGTGTCCATAAATTCCTTTCTTTCTAAACAATTACACACACTCTCAGGCCTACAACTAAGCCAAACTAAAACACAGACAAATCCTTCCTTATTCCTCTGATCTAAACAAATTTAACACATCATATTATAATAATTATTTTCTTGTACTCACACTACCTGTGGTTAGGGATGCGTATCGTTTAGGTTTTATCCGATACTGGTGCCAAACTGGTACTTTTGAAATGTTGCTGGTGCTTAAACGGTGCTCGAACCAGAGCTTTAGAGAAATGCAAACACAAACTTTGTCCAAAAACCTCTTACGTTTTTATTTTTAGCAGTCTCTTTTTTCCTGCAAAATGATAACCAAGTTAGCCTTTTCTGTTGATACAACATACCTCCTTTGGTTGGAACCGGTGGCTAGGGCTAGGGCTAGGACTCTCCTATTTGGATTCTTGGGGGATGTTGCTAACTCCAGGTTTGATACCAGGCACCACACCCACAATATATGTGCTTAGTGTGAGGTCTTGCAGCAAGCTATCAAATATGGTGCTCTTCTCAGCTTTTAAAAAAAACGCTATGCGTGTTTCATCAGATTCGAGGTGTTACCTCCTTTGCACAGTATCACCTTAGGCTGCTGAGTTTGCATCTTCAGGCTGCTGAGTTTGCATCTTTTGCTGTGAAGTACAGCCAGACTTTTGACCACTTCGCCTTGGGCATTTTTAATCTGTAGCTCTGCTCTAAAAGAACGCACATACCTGGGCCTGCCTACTATCCCTGGAAAGGTAAAATGATTGGCTAGAATCGAAAATGTATGACATCTCAGGAAAAAAAAGCACCGAAATAAAGCACCAAAATGCACTGGGTGCCATAATGGCACCGGATATCGGTACCCATCCCTACCTATGGTACTATGTGACTGTGTGCATAGGTTGTGACTGTGTGTGTGTGTGTTGTGATAGTGTTGTGATAGTGGCAGTGGTGTCTGTTTTTGGGACCTGTTTTCGGGTTGGGTTCCCCTGCATCCTGCATGAATTGTTTTATCTTAATTTAGAAATGTAATTATTGACAAGACTCAACAAGCACTGATAGTGTAATCTACAGCTGTGGCCAAACGTTTAGAGAATGAGAAGTCTTGGGTTTTTTTTTGTTTGTTAAAGTTTCTTTTTACAAACTTTGCTGTTTCAGTTGTATACCATATTATATCACTTCAAACAGAGGTGATCCAGTAATGCTACACTAATGAATTAAACTATGCACTTTAGCTAACGTTATTAAGTTAGCTAAAGAGTTGTGTTGGGATGTTGTGCAAGACATTAATAAACCTAAAATACAATGTTTTGGACATTAATTTGCATGTTTCCCTACTGTAGGGGGCTCTGAGAGGGTACAATATGACAACTGTGGAATTCTATAAGACACAGTCAATCATATTTGTTTGTCAAAGCTGAACCAAGGGCAAACTACACTAAATCATAAGCATAAAAGTTACTGTACAACTATCATTTTTTAACATGACGCTTGTTCTTATACATGTGATACATTTATTACCAACCAGAGAGTTTATCTGCTGACTTCTGAAGTCTTAATCCATCTCCAGCTCAAGATAATGTAGATTCCCATCAGTAACACTTTCGGTCCGCTGGTAAAATGTAGTTCTATTAATCTGCGCTCAATTACCCTGGAAGCGGAACTGGATGCAAGTCACAAAAAACAGAATTTTGGAACTGAAATTCCAACTGAAACTGAATGGTGATAAATTAAACTGAAATTATTCAAGAGCTACATTTTTAAAGGACAAAATATAGTTTCAAAGCAAATGAATTAACTTCAAATTCAGTTTCTGATGGCACAAAGTTCTGCCCATAGTACTGGCCATGTTCCTGGCACTTCGACACTTCCTGTCTCGATTGCGTGGTTGTCTAGACAGGCAGCACAGTTGCCACAGCCTATATCAACTAGCAGGAGGGGCTGGGCTCTCCTCCCCTCTGCAAACTGGCCGCCCAGCTGTGGCAGTGGGCTCACTGCCAATTCCTCTCCCTCTGGGCAGTTCATGTGCCAAGTTCCCTGAACATGGCAGCAGACATTATGTCCAGGGGCAGTCCATGCCCAGGGGAGTTAAGGGCAGAGGTCGACCTCTTTGCCTCCAGGGAATTGACACACTGCCCTCTGTACTTCTCCCTGAAGTCTGACGACACCCCTCTAGGGTGAGGTGCCCTCGTGCATCCCTGGCCCCAGGCGCTCCTTTACACCTTTGCCCCTTTCTCCCTCCTCCACTCGGTCCTCCGCCCTGGTTTTAAGTAATCCCACCCCTCCTGGATGGCATGCCCTGGGACCTCCTGCCCCAGGCCATCCTTTCCCTGCAAGGCTGCGGCTCATGGCCTGGCCCCTGAGGGGGAGAGGCTGCGCTCCTTAAGACTTCCTGCCCCTGTCGTGAACACCATGCAGGAATCTTGTGCACCATCCACGAGGGCTTCCTACTGCTATCACTGGGGACTGTTTGCTTCCTGGTGCGTGGTGCACAGGCTGGACCCCATGGTGTGACAGTCAATACCATCCTGCAGTTCCAGCTAGAGGCAGGCAGAGCTGCTGTTATCCTTCATGGGTTAGTGGCTGTGATTAAGGCTGTTCACCTTGGTCGCTCAGCGCTCAGCAACGCTAACGCCGCTTTGATTTCGCGGTTGCTAGGGGTGTCCAGCACCTAACAGCTCGGTTTCCCCTTGGGACCTGGAACTGGTCCTTAGTGCCCTCCAGTGCCCTCCATTTGAGCTCCTGGAAGATGCTAAGTTGAAGTGGCTATCGCTTAAGACCGCCTTCTGGCCATAACTTCCACCAGAAGAATAAGTGAGCTCCATGCACTGTCTGCCACAGTGACTGCTTGATGGGAAGGGGGTGGTCCTCGGGCCCAACACTGCCTTCTTGCCTTCTTGCCACAAGTCCTCTCGGACTTTTACTTTTCTCAGACGGTTGAGCAGCACTCAGCTCCCACTGAAGGGTTGGAATGAGAGGCAGCTCTGCGTCTGAAGGCTCTGTGACCTATCCGAGCTCTGGTTCTGTATGTTGCACGTACCCCGTCACTTTGGACAATGGACTAGTGGTCTAAGTCCCAGTTAATCCTGCAGGCTTATGCCTCAGTAGGAGCTCCTCTTCCCTAGGGTGTTCAGGCCCACTTGACCTGCAGGGTGGACTTCTTGCTCCATACGGACGGGCGCGGCCCTCTCGGCCATTTGTACATTGGACTGGTTCTTATATAGCGCTTTTCTACTCTTCTGAGCACTCGAAGCGCTTTACACAACTTGTGCATTCACCCATTCACACCCATTCGCACAAGCACATTTCTCTAGGTGCTTTCTAGATAACATTCACACACATTCATACTCCGATGGATGCATCGGAGAGCAATTTGGGGTTAGTATCTTGCCCAAGGATATTTGGCATGCAGACTAGGGGAAGCCAGGAATCGAACCACCAACCTTCCGATCAGTAGATGACCTGCTCTACCACCTGAGCTACAGCCACCCCATTGACGACTTTGTCCTCGGCCACCACCTTTATGCATTTTTTCCGCTTGAACGTGGCAGCCTGCTCATCTCTTGAAAGCAGATGCTGGGTGCCCATTGGCGGTAGCCATCATTCCCCGGTCAGCCTAGCATCTTGCGGGCTGACCTAGAGTGGCCGCTCAGTTGCAGTCCTTACGTCTTTTGGGACCAGTTCAGGCCAGTCTTATGTCTGGCGAAGCCCTGACCGGGGTGGCATATGTATATGTACATTTGTAAATAATTCGTTAATACATTCTGGGATTTGGTTGCACTGTCTTCTCGTGGGGTGTCTTACAGAGTTACCTCGTACATATGGAATATATAACAGACTGGAGAGTCTCGATATGATAGAGAATGTAAGGTTACATTGTAACCTTTGTTCTCTGGGTCATACCCCATACATATGGAATATGTAATGGAGTGGAGAGATATTATCTCACTCAGAGAACCAAGGTTACAATGTAACCATATGTTAAGTGGCCTTCTGAACACAGATTCATAATCTGGAAATTAAAGAAATAATTTTTTAAATATTCTGTATGTAATCCTTTTGGATATGCAGGCATTGGAGCTATGACATGGTGTCCACTGGCTTGTGGGATCATCTCAGGGAAATATAACAATGGAATCCCTCCTTATTCACGTGCTTCACTTAAGGTAATATCCCAATATTTAATATCCATCTGGTATTAAACAAAGGAACTGTCATGGTCCTGGGTTGTTTGACCCAGTTTTTTGTGTTTCATTGTATTTTGATATTCATTGTTTATGTTTTGGCTCATTGAGTCTTTTTTGAGTCTGTGTTCCGTCATCCTACCTGTTCCAAGGTTGCCTAGTTTCAGCTCTTTATTCATTTAGACTCCTTATGTCATCTTCCCTTGTGTTGAAGTTACCCTTGTTGTTGTGTGTGTCTTACCTCTTATGTTATGCCTGCGTGGTTTATGTTGTCAAGTTCGGGTCACGTCTGTGTTCCGTCATGCTACCTGTTTTATGTTGAAAGTCCTTGTGTTTCTTTGGTCATTGTATTTAGTTTTACTCTCCCCTGTGTTCTCATTGTTTCATTGTAGTCAGCTGTGTCCTCATGTCTCTCC